TCGGCGCCGACGGCTGTCCCGTTGACCGTTCAGTGGGGGCTGCGGTTGCGGTCGAGCCGACGGTCACCGACAGTCTGCCGACCGTCGACGCGGTGCTCATTTGGGGGCCGATAATCATCAGTCCACCGGACGGTCGGCCGTGCGATACGTGCGGCACCAGTAGTGGGCCGTGTGTTGGCTTAGGGTCGGTGAAGGCCGAGTCGGGCACTACACCCAAGTTGGGCATTGTTAACACGATGGGATTAAAACCGCTCGACTCCTCCATCATTGAGTTGGTGTCGCCCACCGGCGCTTCAGTCGTTACGTTTAGCATGTGATTGATTTTGCCTAACAGGGCCTCGATGTCTATGTTGTTGGCATTGTTGGGGTATTTTTTGCCGGTAACAGGCGCCGGTGCTGGCGCTCTAGATGGTTTATACCCAATATCATCCCCAACCAGGTCAAAAGTGGGCAAATCAGCCACAACTACCGGTTTAAATTGATCCGGATCTCTACCGCGGCCTCCATTGCCTGTCCGCTGCCCAAAACGATTTATTTGAAACTGTATGTCAGTCATGGGTCGGGCCTTGGGTTCAGTTTCATTATCATTATCATCATTATCGCCATCATCTGCCTGTCTATTTAATGAATCAGTTTGAGCAACAACTTGGTGGTCACCCCTACGTCTCTGGTAGGTCCGCCGACTTCTAACTGTAACAGTTGCCGGTGTTGTGTCCCAGAAATCCGGTGGCAATGTCTTGGGCCGCCGCCTGCGGCCGGGCGTTGTCTGTATTGTCTCGTACTCTCGGCTTAGGGACGGTCTGTGCTTACGCGGCGGTCGTCGGGGTCCGTATTGGTTCAATTTTTCCACATCCCTAACGTATATGTCTTGCGTAGACTTTGATGCGCTGTCCGTCTGAGCGCCTATACTTACAGTAGAGTCGGATGTGCTCGGGCTTACGCTGGCGGCCACTGTGGGGCTCGAGCTGGAGCTCTGTGATAGTGTTGTGGATGTAGTGCTCGAGCCCTCTACCACTGTGGGTGATGTGTTAGCTATGGATGTGTCCGGTGCCGCTGTAGGCGATGTGCTGTTGCCTGTTGTTGTGTTGGTGGTAGGGGTGGTAACACCCGGTGCCGATGCCATTGTAGTGATCTTATGAATGGTAATCATTTCCCACTTTTCCGGATTAAATATCTCAATCACCACTTGATCCCCAGCCGACACATTCATTCCCTGACCATTACTATTGATAATAACAGTACCATTAGAGGGACCGCCAGCGCCTGGAGTTGGAGTCACATTTGTCGCGTTCGCTATGGATATGTTAAAAATGACGGGCACTTTGATAACGGGCATGGTCACCATCCCAGCAAACTGTTTCATATTAGCATTACCACCAGCTAGCTCAGTTTTATTAGAATTACTATCATGTTGCTCACTAATACCGTGATTAGTGTTTGCCAGTACTGTTGCCGTAGACAGAGCACCGGTGGCAGTGGTAACGGTTTCATGTGGTAATGTGGGGCCAATACTACTACCACTACTACTACTGATCTCATTAGTAGTACCGTCGGTGACCATCACCTCAACCGCGGCTGTTGTGTCGGCCTTTACCACTATATCAGTGCTGGGGCTCAGCGTGTGATCATCACTAACAGTATTGGTTACCCACTCGGGCCCACCGGTGCCACCAGTGCTGTCAACATCGATGGTACGATTTTTACGCTTCAAATGTGTGGTCTCCGTCTCAATCGGCGGCGTAACCGTCTGTTTATTGGCTGCCATCCCATCCCTGTCCTCCTCATCGTCGGCGTACGGGTCGTAAAAGCCATCGGACGGCACCTCCTGTTCAACCACCGGCGGCGCTGGCGATTGTGGTCCGGTAACCGCCACTAAGGCCGCCTGACCCCGGGTGGGCGCGTCGGCCCCGTTGGCCATCTGTTGGCCCCAAAAGCCGTCGATAGGCAGCGACATTGGATCGGGCGGTCGGTTACCTATCGGTGCCGTACTGTCACTATTGATCGGTATAATAGAGTTGATTAACGAGTCGATCATTGAGTTAAACACATTTTTTCGGCTCATGACGTCCGGTGTCTGGCCTTTAGGACCCGGTATGGGTCGGCTGGCGTCGGCCCCCGGATCGGCGCTATACTCGGGTAAACTTTGAGCGTAATATAGCAGACCATTGATAAGTATTAACTGTATGTACATATTATAACGAGTATAGTTTTTTAATTGCTAACATTAATTATTGGCATTATGTTTGAAATATAATAAACATGTTTCTGAATTGAGAGTAAAATTTTTGTGTTTTGCTTAATTTTGTTGTATTTTGAACTAATTTCTTGGTTTAAAAAAATTTTATGACTTTTTTAAAAGTGCTGTTAAGCTGTTTTTGATTTGATCTAGTTTATTCTGTATTGTGAAATATTAACTAGGAAATTACCAATGTACTTGTTTTGCACTTAAAACTAATTTATTTATTAGTAAAATAATTTTATTTTTAATTATAAGATAATAGTTTCAACTAAATTGAAAAGACCTTAATTCATGTTGAATTATTTATAATGTAATTTGTAAGTACATTTGTTCAATAAATAATTTTTTAAAACCACTATTGATACTTTGATAAATAATATAATATTTTAATTAAACAATTAAAAATGCTGTTTTTAGTATTTTAAATAATTTTACTTTTTCAAGTGTAGTTACAAAACCCTCATAATTTTAATTAATGTAAAATTATTATTATTTTGAACAACAAAAAATACAGTTACAATAGTAATAGATATAGTAATACAGTGAAAACACAATGGCTGGAAAATATCTAAATTTATTTAATATTAAAAACATTTTTGTTTATATTATATTTTATTCAAAACTAATCATTATTTCGCTAACAATAGATCCTGATAACTTCAGAAACTCAGTAAAATTAATTATATCAAATTGTATAATTAATTATTCTGCAATCCCCAGGTACAATTAATAGAATCACGTGGTTTTAAAGCGGAAACGCACTTGGTAACAACCGGCGATGGCTATATATTGACTATATTTCGTATAGTAAACCCGTATAATAACAAGTTAGACAATAAGCCAGTA